CTCACATTTCTTTTCCCAGTTTTTCTTCTGCCTCTCTTATTTGATTTTTAAGATTTTTTTTTGAGTTGTTTCAAGAGGACTTTTTGGGTTTGAGATCAATTTATATTTCCCCTTTGAGGCTTCACCTATGGGAATTTTCATATTGTTATACTCTTCTGGATTTTTTTTTTAATCTTCCTTGTCACCATAGTAGCTTTCTATGATCAGGGCTCTTTTCTGCTTCTCATTCATTTTTCCACCTATTGTGAGACGTTTAAAGTTCAGTTTTGCTCCTGAGGCACAGGTGGCATGATCTCATGCTGTTCATGCTGGGGCCTAGTAATGTGGTAACTGCCTTTCCAGGCTGGGGTCTCAGGTGCTTGAGGCTTGCCCATTGTACTATAGGGGTACTATAGGGGTGGCCTGGCCTATTTGAGCTTGTGTGCCACAGTTCCAGGTCTCACAATTTGCTTTCTATGTTGGGACTGGAGGTCTCACTGCCAGCCTTCTGAGCCAGGACTAAAGAGTCTCAGTTCCTGATCTGTGTTGCAGCTAAGAGCTTCCCACTGGCTTGTCTAGATACTGTACTGGGCTATACTCCCCTTTTACTCAAGTGTGACAGACCTTTTTCTCAAATCATCCTAACTTATCTTAAGCTGGAAAATTATTTCACTTCATCTTTTTGTGGCTTCTGTTGCTCCAGAATCCATTTAGATGCTTGCCGTAATGTTGCTTCTGAGTGAAACTGGGGAGAGCTCAGGCAACTTCCTGGCTTCTTTCTGACATCTTGGCTCAACCCCATTATTTTCTTAAGTCCCTCTAGAATAAGATTTGGATAAATAGATAGATAAATAGATAGGTAGATAGATAGATAGATAGATAGATAGATAGATAGATAGATATAGATAAATATATATATATATACACATAAATATACCTATACCCACACATATGTATGTATGTATGTATGTATATTTCAGGCTGTATCTTGTCAATGCATACCATATTTAAGTTTTAACTAGGAATGATAGTGACCAGAGCACAGCATAGCACAGTTGACAGTGACCTGGCCTTGTGATTAAGAAGACTTAAGATCCAAGTCTTACCTATGACACATAATATCTGTTTATCCAAAGGCAAGTTCCTTGACCTCTCCATGCTTCAAACAATTTTCCTGAATGCAAAGTTAAAGACTGATTGCCTTTATGCAACCTTAGAGGGAATTTCTACAATGGGAATTCCCCATGCTTAAAATATAAAAGGGTCTAGATCTCCCCTTCCTCATTTCTAAGAAAAAAATAGTGACTAGGAATATTTATTTTAAATGACTAAAAGAGTATAAAATGAGATTTGGTTGTCTCCATATTTTATCTGCCTAGCAATGGCATTGTGAGAATTTTTATATGAATAATATAGACACCTATTGTGAATTATTGGGCTAATGAATCTTTATTCTCTAGTTTTTCTCTTCTTCCAGGACTTAACTCTACTAATTTTAACTTATTAATTTTAAGGGCATAATCTATTCTCTGTGGAGTGCTATGAAGGTTATAAACTCCATGAAAACAATCATCATGCCATATCTATGTTATGTATTTCTTCTGTCACCTAAGACAATGTTCTGCATTTTGTAGGCACTTAATAATGTTTGCTGAATTGAGTTGATTAACAGAGCTGGATGACATACCCAGAAATCATAAAATCAATCCCCTTGCCCTTTCATTGGGCTTTACCTAACCCATAACAGATAACAATGTAGCTTATTTTTCTTCCCACAGAAGGAGATTCCCCAATGTCCATGGCCAGTCTGTTCCAAGATTTCACAAGAAAGCAGAATGTTTTGAAATACCTGATGGCATCCAAGGCTAAATTCCCCCAAAAAATGATAAAAGAGGAACAGACAAAGGTCCTTCAGGAAATATGGAAACAAAGAAACAAAGAAAGGAGAAATTCGTATTCATAAAAAAATTGCAAATGATTTTTTATCTGTATCATTTCCCTTTCAATTCCCATCCCCACCCTCCAAAATCACATTCAGGGGAAATAGATACTTATCTTTTTGAAATAGTAGCCATAGCAATTCTATTCCTATTTGCCTGGTACAAATTCCATGCAACCAAATGTAGAAGAACCATTAAAAACTCCAGACACACTACTGTCAAGGGAGAATGAATGCTAAGAATCCAACTTTCCTTCCTATTTGAAAGGGAAAGTTTAGTTCTGTAAGGTGAATCTGTACTGTTCATGACCAGGAAATATGTGCTTCCTAGAATAGAAAGTATCAGTCTTAAAAATATAGTGACCCTTCACAATTCAAAGAAATTATTTTTCTACTTAGAAAAGAAAAAATGTACAGTGATGTATATTTTTGTTTGCATGCTTTTTGTTTGTTTGTTTGTTTGTTTCAATTCAATTAAGTAAATATGAATTCTACATCTACTATGTGAAAGTCCCTAGGGAGAAGAATAAAAAAAAAATCATACTAATGCCTCCTTTTAGGAAGTTTACATTCTACTGGGGGTTATAACCTGTAAGGAAATAAGCACAGTTTTGGGAAAACTGAGGACCAAAGAAGTATGAAAACTAGAGAGGATCAGGGAAAGTTTCATGGAAGAATGAAAGCAAGAATTCTGAAAGAAATAAAAAGATACAACATTCTTGGTATGGGAACAGGCTTGTAGAAATATATATAGAATGGTGATTCATCATTGAGCTTGGGGAATAGTTAGTACATTGGGATGTAGAAATAATAAAAGAGAGTAGTATAAAATGAATCTGGAAAGGCAAATGAGAAGACAAAAGACTCTATGGAGGGTCCTAAATACTAGAGTAAGGAGTATGCCTTTGTAGGAAAAGGGAGTGGGGGATGGGAAATGAATGCTTTTGAGTAAGTGAGGGAGGGATATGATTAGATCTCTGGTTTGTAAAGATTATTTTGGTATATGTGTGGAGGATGAATTGAAGAATGATGATGTCAGAAGTAAGGAAATAAATTAGGGCAATTATAGTAGTCTGAGGAAGAGATAATGGAAATAATAGAGAGTAAAAAATAATAGCATCCCTATACATACATAGAAATGCTTTCCTCCATCTATGTATTTGCCTTCTCTCATGTTGTAGCTAACCCTGGCGAATTGCTCTATTTCACAAACTTTAAGACTTATCAACTTCACATTTTTAATTATAGTAGTTCTCTCAGAGAAAAGGTGAAATTTTTAAAAATGTATCTGGGGAGTTATTTGTGTTGTTTGAACTATTCCATTTGTGAAGAAACAGCATGCTTTAGTGAATAGAAAGAACTAGGATGCTACAGTGTAAATGAATAGATGCATGAGACATGCAGATGGAAACTGACAAGATTTGGCAACTGATTGGAAATGGGGAGGATGGGGGAGAGGAAAGAGGTCAGGATGACACTCACAATATCTCTGTTACACAGGTAGGGCATGTATGATTATTACAATTTAACAAATCAGGGAACTAAGGCCAAGGAAGATGAAATGACTTGTCCAGGGTCACAAAGGATTTTAATGACAGAGCAATGATTATAATTTAGGGCTTCTTTGTCTCTGTATCTCAAACATCTAGTATAGTGTCAGGCTCATATAGTACTTAATAAACATTGAATTTTCACTTTTAGTCCAATGGACATTCTATTACTTCACAATGCTATTAATTTCATATTATAGGGGATTTTCCCCTCATGCCCCTTCTCTAGATAGGGGATTTCATCAGTGGAGGGAACTTTTGGTGAAGATATTCCCATACACAAATGCAGGTCAGTAACCTTCTGGCAGCTCCAGATTCTCAGAGAATTACCTAGAGGTAATGAGAAATTAAATGACTACTGTAATAAGGCTAGCATGTGTCAGAGGCAGCACTTGAACTCAGGACTTCTTGACTTTAAGACTGAATTTTTATCCAATAAACTTGCTATTTCCCTGTAAGTTGAAGAGTTGGGACAAAATAAATACTTTCTCAGATAAATTTTAAAAGTTTTCCCGTTACCCCTGAGGTACCTATTATAACTAAAAATGTATAATTGATAAGTCTTAAAGTTTATAAAATAGGGCAGATCTGCTAGAGTTAGCTGTGACATGCCTGAAGGCAGATGGATGGAGGAAGATACTTCTATATATCCATCTCTGTTATTTTCATTCTATGAAAAGTAGGAATCTGGCAGCCACTATTTGCTATGTAATATTTGGTACTCATCTTTGGACTTGAACTTTATCCCATCAGGATATTAAGGACTTGTGTGTATGCCTATAGGGTTTGTAATAAAAGGTACCTAGATACATACTAACACGGATACAAAGTATTCTTAGTTGTCTGAAAGCATTGGGAAATGACTTATTTCAGTTAGATTGTTTTTCTGTCCAAACAACAGATTTATTTTTAATAACCTATTTTAATGGTTTTGGAATTATGCTCATTTATATCTTTTGAAACAGATGCATTTTTAAACAAGGTTTATGATTGTCCCGGTAGAATAAGGTCCTGCTGGGAAACCTTTATTGATTCAGCCTGGCCCCTTCTCTCAAATGTGAGGCTAAATGAGTAGCTTAGGATGACACAACTAATATGTATCAGAAGTGGAACCTGAACTTCAAGTTTTCCTGACTCTGATGTCTCTACCTCCTGTACCATGTTTCCTCTCGAAACAATATATTGAATAAAATTTAACCTTTTCTTGGTTTCATGTCATCATCAGGGTATCAATGATTATACACTAATGTTCTGGGATAGTGTATTACAGTAGAAAGAGCTCCAAACTTATAATCAAAGGACCTGGATTGATATCTTGTCCTACTTGATTCTTACTTAAGTGACGTTGAACAGGTCAGTCCACATATGTAAAATGAGGTTGTTAGATTAGATGACATCTAATGTTTCATTCTACTTTAAATCTGTGATTTTATGATCTCAGGTACATAGAAATTACAAATACTATGCAAGGGAAAAAAGTGTTTTGGGTCTTGGATCTATTTGCAGACCTATTTTTCTGTACTGAGACATACCTGATGAAGAGTATACTGTTGTCACTGTGTTTACATCTGCTTCTATTACAGATCTGCAATTAGCCTCCGCCAAAACACCTTTCACAGTGACAGGTGCAATGCTGGGGTGGCGCAGGGCTGCCTTCAGTGGTGCTATGTGGTTATACTGGACTGATGACAGGCATCCAATAAATCCAATGGTGTTCGCTTTGGAGACTTCAGCATCTAGTCCCAGGCTATCTGCAACATGAAGCACAATCAGAAAGTTGTTTTCTTTTCCCGTCTTCTGTGTCTTTGTGCAAAATATTGAATTACAAAATCACTTTAGTTTATCCAGTGGAGAAGACTGTACATTTCACTTATTGAAGAAAACACACTTCCATACTCCACATGAATCAATACTTCTTGTCTAAAATTACCTGGTGCTTCTCTGCTTTACGTGATAGATGTTTCAAACTCCTGTCACTTCAGTCAAGGCATATTTTTTTTCCAGTGTAAGATTTCACCATTAGTATAACTATATCCTAACTCTAGATTTCTTTATAATATATATAATTATATACTAATTTTTTTCTTAGCTATGATCTCTGGAAGTTATATGCAAAATTTTGTCATACAGATCATAGTACTTCAACAAGTCATTTTCCATTTGAAAAACAGAACAGGAGAGATACACTTCCAGGTAGCCTAGGTGAGTGTATTATAGAGCAATTCTCCCTCAAAGCTCTTCAATGACTTTCCTTATTCTTAACCTTCTTTATATACTGCATCCCGGTAGTTTTTGTTTTTCCTTATTTCTCCTTCTCTTTCTGAGGAAGTGAATGATAATGAGCTAATGACCTTTCAATTCTTGTTGACTGATATCTTTGGATGTTTGGTGATATTAGAACAAGGTTGAATCCACTGAATATTTTCATCAGGCCCATTGTCTCATTGCTCATAGGATTACAGAGTATGAGACTCTTTCAGGAACTCATTCATTGTAATTAAGGACAACCAGTTAATTAGGTTGTTTAAAATAATTGCATAAGAGGTCCTATATTGAGGCAGCTGGTAGAGAAGAGGATAAAACTCCATGTCTGGAGTTAGGAAGATCTGAGTTCAAATGTGACCTGGAATACGTACTACCTGTATGACTTTGGGCAAGTCACTTAAATGGTTTCTTCCACCATAAAATAAGAATGATAATATTATCTGTCTCCCAGAGTTGTTGTGAAGACCAAATGAGATAATATATATTTTTAAATCATTTAGCACAATGCCTGGCACACTGTTGGCTCTAAATAAATGCTTATTCCCTTCTCCTTTCCTTCCTTTCTTTCTACCTTACCTTCTCCCATTTAATTAAATCATAGGTCAAGTCTAGATAGCACCTTTATAAGGCACACTTAACTTCTTCTAGTCATATCAAGAATAATTGAAATTTTGAGTAGGAAGAAGGGAATAAAGAAAAAGACATAAAGGCACTCTATAGATTACCTTTCCTCCTTCTGACTTCATCTCCTGATGCAAACTTCACTAGCATCTGTATTTTAACCTCCTGTCTGGACAGTAAAGAAACCAATCTGAGATCTCATAGAATCCTACCTAGAGTGAATTCTTAAAATCAAATGCTACACTGAGGTATCAATTCATCGTGAAAGTAAATTAGGTGGAAATGGTAACCAACAATATTCAAAACATCAATTTTTACAAAAATACATCTCTTTCAAAACCAGGGGCTTGCAATTGGTCCCCTTAACCCAGTAGTGAGTTCCTCTCTAAAACTACATTTTGAGGAAGGGACTAGACTAGCCATCCTTTTTACTCTACAAAGTCCTCTACCAAGACATAGCAGTCTCCTCCCTTTACCCCTGTGCCTGCCTTCCACCGTTGGTGAGTTCCTACTGGATCTGGCATTTTGAGGAAAAGCCCCAACCAGAATATAAACTCCTCAAAGTGACATATAGAATACAATTAACAAATGCTTGTTGACTTATCTTGGGGCATATACACTACCATCACTTATGAACAGATTATACTTCTCTTTCTTTTTCTGAGCCCAAAGAACTGTATCTCTTAATATAAAAAAAAAAGATTAACTTAGTAATGTACTTGCATTTTAAATATACAATGATGATCTTGGAATATGACAAAATAATGTTTTCAAATGGTCACAGGCTTAAAACAGAGGCCTTTAATATATTAATAATGATTCAAAACAGAAGTCAGATCACATTGTTAAATTGTTAGAGACAGTTAAAATAAAGACTACAGTAATAGCTAAATAGATATTTGTTGAGTTTCTAAGGTGACTCAAAATACTATCTGTAGCTAAGTGGTGTGGGGTTGTTGATTGAGTTCAGATCTTATGCTCCAGACATAAAATTTGGATATGCTGAAGTAAAAAGAAAAGAAACTCTGGTAGTGAGTTCTCCTTAATTGGTCATTTGTAAGCAAAAACTAGATGATCATTCCTTGGACCTATTGTGAAGGGGATTATTCTCATTCAGGTACACATTGGATTAGATGGTGCTAGAATCACCTTCAGTTCAGATAGCATAGGAACTGTGGACTAGAAGATGTAAGAAAAGTTAGAGGTTTTTTTTTTTTGTTTTTGTTTTTGTTTTTGAAGGATACATGTTATTCTTCTCCGGTAAGATTTTCTTTTGGTCATCAGTTTTCCTGATGCCTTGGCTCTCCTTTCATTATTAGAAAAATCAAAACCATAGAAATTTCAGATGGGTTTGTCCTTTTGCCATCTAAGAATGTGCTCATCTAAGAATTCATTACACCATAGTCTCACATTGGGAGCATTTCCTCAACTCAGGGATTCTCTTGTTTTCTTAGTTTCTTTTCAATAACTCCTGGAGGTTTCAATCATCATTATACATCTAGGATAAACATGCTTCCCTGGAGATAAGACTCTATTCAAAACATCTCTCTTTTGAAAAGTGAAATGCCATTTTTTGGCACTTCCCCAATTTATCTATGTGCCTATTGTTTGTGAAGCTTGGCTTTGTGACAATTACAATGGTGATACCCTCTAAAGATTCAAGAACCAACATAGACTTTTTTTCCAAGGAATTTTTTTCTAGGAATAAGCTCTTGTGTTTTGGAGCAATATCCTTAAGTCACAGATCTGCTTAAATATCATATGTTGATACTCTCAAATCCCAAATTTTAAAAATTCATCCCATCCATCCAACAAGCAAATAATCAAATACAAACTCCTTAGTGGTTTGTTCTTCAACATCTAAAAACAATGACAACAAATCTCTGAAATATGGCATGCAATATGGGGCTACCCAGTTAAAAAACAATGAACAATAGCCCTATCTTTCCTGCAGACTAGAACAAAATACAAATTTATTAAACCCAGTGATCCTTTCTAGGATTATTGAATTTCCTTTCATATATACACTCCTTTTTGTGGACAAGCTGTTCAGTGTTTAACATACAGAGAATTCCATCAGTCATCTCTCACATCCCATCCCTGTACCTTAGAAGAAGGTGCTACCCCCCAAACTCAACTCTGAAACATCTCTTTTCATCACTAGCTCATAAAGTCCCTTCTTTTCTTCCCACCTCAACTCAAGTGCACTTTCCTGAAGGAAACTTATCCTTATACCTACCAGTTGCTAGTGACCTTCCCTCAGAAATCACTTTGTATTTACTCTATATTTAATTTTTAAGTACATTTTTTAAATCCCAAGAGAACTTAAGCTACTTTTTTATAGTCATGATTTGGTTTCTGGCTTGTGATCCTCGCTGCCTAGGACAGTGCTTGGCAATTAGTATGTACTTAATAAATCTTTGTTGAATAAATTAATGGATATATTAAAACTGTATATTATCCTGAAATCTAATAAAAACTCTGTTCTAATGTCATTCCACTGCTCAAGAATTGCCTAAGCAATTTAGAGTAAAAAAATAGTGGGCTGTATATGTTTATCACAGGGGAGAACTTGCATTGCCTATTAGAAAACTCAAGCTGAGTTTTCCATAAACATTTTAAACTCAACATGTTCAAAACTGAATTAATTATCATTCCTCATAAATCTTCCCCTCTTCCTAACTTTCTCATATTTGTTGGGGATAATGCTATCCTCCTTGTCAACCAGGTTCAAAACCTCTCTTACCCCTCTCCACATCTGCCACATATCAAATCAATTGTCAAGGCCTCTTATTTTTCCTTTGGTATAAATTTTTGTGTATATCCTTTCTCATTTCTTATACTATAACACTCCAGTTTGGTCTCTCTTTGCCTTACACCTTTATTATCACAATATTGTGCTGGTTGGTTTCTCTGCCTCAAGTATCCACTCATTCCAGTCTGTCCTAACCTGAGCTGTCAAGATTATTTTTCCTTAAACCAAAGGCTGACCTTGTCATCCCTCTCCACATTCAATAAAATCCAGTAGTCTCTTATTACCTCTGAGATCAAATATAAAATCCTATCTTTAATGGGATAAACTAGTTCCTTCTTACCTTTCCATTTTTTTATACCTTGTTCCATACACACACACACACACACACACACACACACACACACACACACATATTATGATCCAGTAACACAGGTCTCCTTTCTGCTTCTCATGCACACAAAACTTTATCTTTCAATTCAGAGTGTTTTCACAGGCTGTTCCCATGTCTGAGACCGTCTTCTTCTTCATCTCTATTTTCTAACTTCTTTGGTTTCTTTAAAGTCTCAACCAAAGTCTCACCTTCTGTAAGAAATCTCTCCATATCCTCCTTAATGCTAAAGTCTTCCCTCTGTTGATCATCTCCAATAATTGTGTTTGTTTGTTCATTTGTTTTCCTGGTTAAGATATGATTCTGTTCTATAACCTAAGACATACTATTTAACCTAATCTGATTATTTGACAGTAGTGACTTAATACCAATGGGAAAAAGATTAAAAAAGACTATCATTATTCAGAAAAAAATCAGATTTTGATCATATAGTCATAAAATATTAGACCATTAGACTTTGAAGAAATTTAGTGATCATTTTGACTAAGGTTAGCTGGAAAGGACCTCAGAATTCATCAAGTCTGTCCCCTTTTCCCCATTTTACAGATGAGAATAGAGAAGCAAAGAGAAGTTACGTGATCAGAACTAACTATAAAGATATTAAGTAAGATGAGAAATCTGTAGCTCAGAAAAGTGAAGTCATTTGGCCAAGGTCAAACAGCAGTAAACTCTAGTCATAATTAGAATGTGGGATTTCTTTCTGAAACCAAATGAAGCTTAAT